ACGAAAAGTAATCATTTGTTTTATGTTACATTCAATCGTGAGTTCATATTTACGGTCATGTTACTCAAAGAAATGTTTGCAAAAAATCGCTAAAGTTTGCTAACGTCATATCATTACTGACTGCACGATAGTGCCACAACATATTTTCATGTCTGATCAGGGCGATAACCACCATAGACATTGAGGGGGGCTAGTCCCCCCAATAATTATAAATCGCTAAACCCTTTTCTCAAATATTGCCAATTCGAGAGAGAGAGAGAGAGAGATGAAAGTTGCGTGTATGCACGTCTGTGCGTTTCTCTTTTTAGAGTGAGTTTACTTCAAAATCAGCAATTTTATCCTCTCGTTGCTGGAAAATATAATGTTGCGATTCAGTATTTAAACTGTTATTAATAAAAGTCGTGGGGCAGCGTTGACAAGTTTCTTTGCTCCTGGATGTGTGAGCTGCGCAATATCTGATGTGTGTGTGTGTGTCAGTAAGCAGCACATTAATATAGAACGGTAATTAAAGGCTCTAATGCACACCAGTATAGGTGTGTGTATTGTAGGAGCTAGACGACGTATGATGACGTGTGACGGCATAGTAGTGGTGTCCCAATTCTTAGGGGAATATTTTCACCCCTACCCCTTGACACTATGTTTCAAGGGACAAGGGGTAGGGGAAGGGGAAGGGGAAGGGGAAGGGCTATAAAATAGAATTGGGATTGGGCCTAAATCTTTCATCAAAATGAACAGTGATCACCTGCTCCACCTCTGAAACAACTTTCCTTTTTGGCTGACATCACGAATCCCTTTTACTTTTAACCCCTCCCCCTTTCATTCTGGAAAGTAATACCCACTTTTCAGGAGCCAATCAATTTCCTGAATAAATTCAAGTCCCGCCTTAATTTTTTTCCTCATTGAATATCCAGTTTCATTTAGAAATACATCAGATTACAAAAGTAAATTGGGTTGCAAATACAATTTCATTTTGATTTTAAAGTATTGTTTTTACCAACAAAGTAACATTTTGGTGTGAAATTGACTAGTAATTTAAATATAAATTATAATGAGTAAATGTTTTTTAAATCCATAAACGGGGTTTTCTACAGAATGTCAGTTTTTACATGTTTGTATTTTTCTGTGTACATTACTATTTAATTTAATGTGCAAGTTCTGTTGTATTAACTAAAATATAACTTGCACATTGAATCAAATAGTAAAATGTTCTAAAAATAAGATATTTTACCCCCCATAAAAAAATAAAATAAACCGAATGCAGTACATGTTTAAGCAGATTATTGGACGTGGTCCAGCGTCTCTACACTGGAATGCAGCTGAACTTGACTAATCTGTTCAAACCAGAGGCCTTGGCAAAGAGTTGTTTACCAGACTGTTGCCTAGTCAGTGCTTTTAGTTGAGACCGTTAAAGGAGAAGTGCTCTGGAAAATCTTCACCAGTCTGTTTAGTTATTTTTGAGCATTATGTCTGGTGTTGCTGACAGTTTGTATAACTTCTAATTGAGTGAATCATGCACACTTTAAGTTTTAAGGGGTCAGTTTATGCAAAAATAAACATTTTGGCACCCATTTCTCATTCTCATGTTATTCTGAGTTATTCTTTTGTACATGAAATGCAAAATGAAATTTAAGGCAGAATGCTCAAGCTGTTCTTTTAAGCTTGTTCTCAATTCAAATGGTGCTTTTTTTTAAATGCTTTTTTTAAAACGTTTAAATGGTGAGTAATGATGGCCCTTTAAAGTTGCTCTGTATCTTCAGGTTAAATCAGTATTCCATACACAATATACACGTAAACACACATTAACTTTCTGAGCTGTCTTCCTCTAGTGCAATTTTCACATGTATCGTCTCACAACACAAGGAAATCCTGTTATTTTAGGGGCTGATCAGGGGGGTTGCGGATTCAAAGAATACATCATCCACACCCAGAGCCCAGATGCTTTAAAAGTGAAAACTATTGAAACATATTCCAGACGCCACATGTTTGCATCGGTCTGTTTAGGCTTCATGATGAAAGACCTCACTTGGTTATTGAACAATGAACCAGAGGACAATGTGAACTTTGATCATGTGTTCATGGATCAGTAGGAATGACCTGATGTGACACAGATTCAGGCCAGTGCTGCATTATGTTTCATTCATCAGGTGTTTACATGTGTTTTTATCCCATCAAGCCTAAACATTTGGCTTTATGTCATTAAGGTAATGTCATCTAGGTGAGGTTTTGTTGAAAGTGCAAGAATGAGTTGTGATTGTATTGGAAGCATCAGTTTGAATGGGTTGAAAATGATAACCAAGTCACTCTCCGTCATTGTTTTCCAGCAAAAGCATGTGTATGAGTTATAATTTCCAACTATTATTAAAAATGTATCAATAATTTTTTAAATATAGTTTTTGTTTAGGTAAAGAAAATGCCGTGTTACATGAAAAAAATATTTTTTGACACAGAGAAACTGAGTTTTAAATGAAGGTTGGGAGGAGCTAATCCTGTCAATCATAATGCAACATAATGAATGTATAAACAGCTGCCTGCATCACTACCACTCCAAATCCACAGTAAAAAAAAATCCTTAAAATTTACGGTAAAAAAATACGGTAGCAACATTTTAGGTTTTACCGTTTAAACTTAAATTTACAGTTAAATACCGTGATTTCATTAACTGAAATAATGTTAATATACCAACCTATTGAAGTACTGAAATCTGTTTTGTACCTTTGTAATATACTGATAACCACCAAAAGCAGGTGGTGATGAGAAAGTCACATGATGAGCCAAAGCCCATCACAAGCAGCTTTTAAATAATAACATATATAGAAGGTGCACAGTGTCATTCACACAAACACTAAACACCATCATGGTAACACACATGAAACTGAAATAATGCAATAAACATTCATTTAACAACATTAGGTGTAACACACAACCTTAATATACAAAACTGATAAGAAAAAACTAAGAAACATAGTTATTTCAACAACAAAAAAAAAACATCAAATTTGAAATATAACGCAGGGAATTCTGGGAATGTCAATTTATTGTAAATTATACGGTCTTTTTCACTTCCGAAAACGGTATACTACCGTAAAATTACATGTAATGTCCAATACAGTTTTTCACCGTATATAGTAGGGGAATTTACCGTTAACCATTTAACAGGTTTTTACTGTAGCATTTTTACAGTCTTTTACCGTTAAATTGATGGTCATTTTTTAAAGTGCACCTTTAAGTCTTAATTTATTGCTAGCTTCATTATTGAGTATCCAGGTTGGCTTTAGTGATCAAGTCGAGTCTTGACATCAAGCTTATGTGTTTACCTTCATTATAACTTGTGAAATATGTTTTACAGTGAAAATGATAGCAAGGCAAGCACAAATCTGAACTATCCTAAACTGATCCTTATTGTTGAATGCATCATTTATTTTCATGGAGAATTTCTGTGAAATTTGTCTCATTAAACGTCTCTTGCATGTGTCTTGCAGAAGATGTCTTTAAGTGGCATGATGATAACGGCGTGTTGCGCTACAGTAACTGGGAGGGCGGCGGCTCTGATGACACTGATCTGCCTCTCTTGGACACGTGTGTCGTTCTTCACTCCAACACAGGGAAGTGGGAAAACGTCAGCTGCACGGGTGAACCTGAGAACGGAGTAGTGTGTAAGACGGGTAAGTTCATAGGACAACTATTCCTTTTTAGCTTTTATTATATGTTGTGTTTTTGTATTTTTTGTTTTCATTAAAATTGCTGAAAAGTTCCAGTAATTTTTTTGTTTATAGTTGTTTTTTTTAATATAGAGTTTTTTTTTTTAATTTTTTTTTTTAGTTTAGTTATTTTAGTGTATGAAGTTAAACTAAATGAAAATGACAAATGTAGCTTTGGCAGTTAATATGTTAATAATATATATATTTTTATTATTATAATTTCAGTAAATCTTTATTATATTTTTAAGTAACTAAAATGCAATAGTTTTTTTAGTTAACTATAATAACCATAAAGAACTATAAAGCATTCCATACTATAATCCTGTGGCCTGTTTTTTGGAGGGCCAAATTACTCAATGTAATTATTGAATACATTAAATAGATAAAAAAATAATAATAATTAGATACTTAATTAAAACATTTAAAATGTATTACTTATTAAATGACCCAACAAATTTTAGCATTTGTTTGCATTCAATTTTTTCATTTTTATCATTGGACTTTCATTTAACCGCAAGATCCTGAAATGTCACTTTTATTAACAGAGTTACAGTTGTCGGCTTGTCTCTCGACATTAGTGAACTTCACCTTTCAAACTCCTTTTCTTTGGAATTTCTAGTTCTTACATGTTCAAATATTTATTGATTTATCTTTGAGTAATTTGGCCTTCCATGAATGATGTAATATCATCATTTTGCTAAATTAAAATAAAATGGTACATTTTGTGGTAAGAAAGAACATACTTGCACATGTTTATGGTTTCCAGCGTTATGGAAGGTCAAATTTAGTTATGTTTTGCCCATAAGTGTAATTTGACCTTCAATCTTTGTGATGTGTTTTTCAGAGGCAGTCTGGATAAGCCCACCTAGTAAGCGTGATCTTATTTTTGTAATGTTTTTCTTGTGATCTTGCTATAATATCTTGAGATAAAATTGAGTTTTCTAAGAGACATATTGACCATAATTGTGTCAAAATGAGTTTGAAGCCATCGTGATCATTGTAAACCATCAGAAACCATCTTGTTTTTGTGTTGATGATTCTATTTCTTCCTTCTCCTCGTCTCTAGAGGGCAGTCCTCTTCTGTCAGCTCTGGTCATCATCAGCGTGGTGCTGATACTGGTCGTTTCTGCAGTGGTTTGGTTCTTTCATCAGAGAAACACCCCAGGCTCATCCATCCTGAACCTGATCGAGTACCATCCGCCCTTCAGATCCCCTTCCTCCGATCAGGCCTGCTTGGTAGAAGCTGAAGAAATCGAGGTGGTACCTTAGTGTTTTTCATCCGTGCCCGGGAGAGAATAAGCAGCAGGCGTTCATGGGAGATTGTGAACTCTTCCCTTTTCACTGGTTCCTCAGCGACGGTCCTCACAGAAGAAAACGAGGCAGTCGTGACTCAAATGATCTCTTTCTCTGGGGTGGAATGGAGGACTGTGTGGGGAAATATGATCTGTGTGAATGCCATGTGTGATATAAATTGCTGGGGGTTTATTACGCAGGACCATTAAGCACACTGATCTTTCCTTCTCCTTGAAGACTCGGCTGTTTAGTGACTCTATTTGCTTTACTAATATTTTCTGAGCTGCAATTTGTCGCTTCTGTGAAAAAAGTTTCATCGAGTCCTTAAAGCGAATCATGTCCACAGGCTGGTCCAAGCCTGAAAATGTAATCAGAAGAAAATCTACATTTTATTATAATATTATTTGTATTATTGTTATTAAGGGATAATTGATAATTAATTGATTGCAGCTCTTTTTCATAACATACATTTTCATAGACACCACTATCAAGCACCGAAAAGGCCATATATGCTGCCATATATTTTTGTGCACTATGAGTTGATTTGTGTGAGATTTGCATGAGAAACAGACTGAAGTTTCAGTCGTAATTCAGTTGAATTTTGTCCTCATCAGTCATCACAAAACTTTGAATTGTTTGTTAATGTTGTGTGTGCCAAATTCTGTTTCTGTTGTGAGATTCACAAAATAGGAAGTTTTGTCAGATTTCTTCCTTTGCGGTAGGACCAGTGTTTATTTTCTGTCTTTCTCAGCTGAAAAGGTTACAAATATGTGTTTGTCACTGCTATCACTGTATAAGCACCTCAAGTTCGTAGATACAAATACTTCATGATTGCCAATCGCAATATTTTTTAATGATGTTGTAATTGTTGTTTTTAGAATTGGATTTGCCACTAACAGTCTTCAGTATCTATATTGTTATGAATGAATCCAATTGTGTTAAAATTAAGGCTTTATTTATCCATAGGTGAACAACAAGCCATAGAGAAACTAATCAAGTGTTGGTCTTTCAAAATGAATAAAGACTTGTCAAACGTTTCAGTTTTCTGTTTTTTAGTGAAACCAAAAACACAACCAAACACAAAAAGAATTGATATATGCAGAAATACATGCATGATCGTTTTAATAGCTCAGATTTTAATGCTGCTGTAAGCATATTCAGGCTCAACTGTCCTGAGACATGCAGAATGATTAGCAGGCAGTTTCTCCACGTGCAAATAAACGGAAGATGCTGGTTTTGCTGCAGCTGTTTATGTCCTGCGTGTGCATGTGTGTGCTGGCTGTGTAATGAAAGAGCGATCAGGATGAAGTGGGGCAGCTAATTGAGGGCAGATGATTTACCCTCTGGGGTTTTTATAGATCACTGTCATTGTTCTACCCTGAAAGTGTCAGTTTCGCTCTGTATCTCCAGCTGCTTCGCCTACACTTGTTTGGCCATGTTATGACTGCTGCTGCATTATGACTGCCTGTGCATACACATTTGTATTTAAACCACCGTGGCACGTAATTTGGGGTTGATAATCGACTTTATAGGTTTTTCCTGTGTCCTCAATGTCACATTCCATCCTGCTAGTTATCACTGTCATCAGTTTGGTGGAAAAACCAATATCAGTTTCTTATGAAAACTCAGTATAAGTTTCAGTATCAGTATTAGGTTATACAATTATTTTAGAAGAACACAATAACTCTTCTCAAAACCTAAAGCTTTCTTAAATGTATTTTACTCTTCTTTTTTTATATTATTATAGTATAGTAACACATATATATATATATATATATATTGTTAGTCTCATTAGAATTTTAATATTTTATTATAAATTAGAATTCTAAATTATTTTAATGCTTTTCAATAACATCTCCAAAGTAGTTGGAAAAATAATAAATGGTGAAAATAATACAAATCCATAAAATATGACTTGTAAGATTCTTTAGGCTTGTTAAATAAATTAATACATTCATTTATTCATTCATTTAAATGTATTTGTTTAGTAATTTATTTGTTTTATTGAAATGTATTTGTTTAGTATTTTTTATTTATTTAAATGCATTGTTTATCTGTCTAGTTAAATGTATTTGTTTATTAACTTGTATAAATTTATTTGATAAATGTATTTATTTATTAAATAGTAAGTATACCCTACACACTAGTGTTAGCAGTAATCGATTTCATTTGCCATCAACATAGGCAGTAATTCACTGACAGATGATCTGCAGCCATTAAAGTGCTTTCAAGGTTCAGTGTTTTTGGTGATCAACCCAGATTTTACTGTCCCCTTCTGATCAGCATATTACAGGTTGTCACTGATGACCACTAGAGGACGCTATGACTCATGATATCATCCCTGGTGATAGACTGTGTGCAACTTTTTCTTCCAAAAGAACCTAGCAACAAATTGAGCTATTTTTAAAATTAATTTGGCAACTTTTAGCAACTTTTGATAAGTGACTCAAACACTAAAAAGGCTCACATTTACCATTTAAATTACACAAAAAGAGGAAACCAAAGATGCCTAGCAGTACACACATTACGTGAATTTATTTAGCTGCTATTTGCAATTGTTTATGTAATAATAATAATAATTTAATAATTGTTCAATTATGATACACTTTGTTAGTAGCTTGTAACTGTGATTGTTGATAAGTTACACTGTAAGAAAAATATCTAGAAAAATGGAAAAGCTACTAGTAATTTTTCGGGACATTATCCGTTATCCATTATCTGTTGCAAAAAAACACAAAATGCAATGCGTAATTTAAAATGCAGGTAAAAGAAAACTGGAAAAATCAATACAGAAAATTCCTTCATATTAACACAGTAGACAGTGCTCTATATTTACAGACTTTTCTTAGATTAGCATAATAACTAACTACTAATACACTGCTTAAAAGTATAATTGTTCAGAATGTGTAGTTTTACTTACTAGCTATAAAAGAAACTTGTAATCGTTCAAAAAATTTGTAAGTTTTCAATAATTCAATGTATTTAAAAAAAAATAGTTATTTATATTTTAATATTATATTATGCATTTATATTATTTTACGTATATAAAATATATATTTTTTGCTGAGATTTGATGTAGTGATAATTTTGCGTCGTGATTACGTAATTATGTCATCGCACAATGACATCACAACGTAATTTAGCAACTTTTAGCAACAAATCGACCTTCCTTTAGCAACTTCCCCTGAAAATTAGTTGGCAACACTGCACCAATCAGAGAGGAGATTCCAGGCCACTTCTCAGACCTCCTGGAGTTTACAAAATATAGAATTAGAAATAAAGTTATCTGTTATCACCATGATTTTTCAGGTTGAGGGCTTCACATTACCTGTCCAAGTCTGTATGTGTCTAATTTGACTAGATTCAAGAAACAGATGAATTTTGTGCAAAAATATTGTAGACTTTGACTTAGGGCTGCATGATTATGACAAAAATCATAATTGTGGATTATTCCCTTGAAATTGTAATTGCGATTATTAATTACGATTATCACAATCAATTGTGGCATCTATAATTGCAATTGCGATTAGAAATTCGATTAATTGTGTAGCGCTACTTTGACTGGACACATGACCTTTGTTGGTGCGTTAATATGTGGTTGCCATGCTGGTGTTAATATGTGGTTTATAAGGTTTTCTTTGTGGTTGTTAACTTGTTGGTATGTTGCTATGTGGTTGTGAGGAATGGTCATGTGATTGCGAAGGTGTTCTAGATGGTTGCCAGGGTGTTGCTATGGTGCTCCAATATGGTTGCCATGTGGTTGCTAAAGTGTTCTGAGTGGTTGTTGCCCTGTTGCTATGTGGTTACTAGGGTGTTCTTGGTGGTTGCCAGGGTATGTGTTATGTTGTTATGTGGTTTCTAAGGTGTTGTTGTGGTTGTTGGTGTGTTGCTATGTGGTGGCTAAAGTGTTCTGAGTGGTTGTTGTGTTGCTATGTGGTTACTAGGGTTTTCTTGGTTGTTGCCAGGGTGTTGATATGTGGTTTCTAAGGTGTTCTGAATGGTTGTTGGCAGGTTACTATGTGGTTGTCAGAGTGTTTTATGTGGTGGCTGAGGTGTTCTGAGTGATTGTTGGTTTGTTGTTATGTGGTTGTGTTTGTTGATGTGTTTTGGATGGTTGCCAGGGTGTTGTTATTTGGTTTCTAACGGATTCTTTTTGGTTGTTATTGTGTTGCTATGTGGTTGTCAGGGCCTTGTCGAAGTTGCTAAAGTTTTTTCTTAGTAGTTGTTGGTTTGTTGATATGTGGTTACTAGGGTGTTTTGGATGGTAGCCAGGGTGTTGTTATGTGGTTGCTAAGGTATTTTTATTGTGGTTGTTGGTGTGTTGCTAGAGTGTTCCAATGTGGTTGCCATGTTGGTGTTAATATGTGGTTTCTATTAAGGTATTTTTTGTGGTTGTTGGTGTGTTGCTAAGGATCCAGTGTGGTTACTAACGTGTACTGAGTGGTTGTTGTTGTACTGCTGTATGGTTACTAGGGTGTTCTGGATGGTCGCCAAGGTGTTCCTATGTGGTTTCTAAGGTGGTCGCTGTGATTTTGCCAAGTAAGACATGTAAGACATGTACAAGACCAGATGAAACTTCTAAATTATCTAAGCTAACAGAGTGTGTTAAAAATGTAAAAGATTGGATGACCAATAATTTTCTCCTATTAAATTCGGATAAGACAGAGATATTACTTATTGGACCAAAAGACAGTACACAGAATCTCGTGGATTACAATTTGCAACTTGACGGATGTACGGTTACTTCCTCTACAGTCAAAAATCTGGGTGTTATATTAGATAGCAACTTGTCTTTGAAAATCATATTTCCCATGTTACAAAAACAGCATTCTTTCATCTTAGAAACAATGCCAAGCTACGGAACATGTTACCTGTTTCTGATGCAGAAAAGCTAGTTCATGCATTCATGACCTCTAGACTGGACTATTGTAATGCACTGCTAGGTGGTTGTCATGCATCTTCAATAAACAAGCTACAGGTAGTCCAAAAGGCAGCGGCTAGAGTCCTTACCAGGTCAAGAAAACATGATCATATTACCCCAATTTTACAGTCTCTGCACTGACTACCTATTAAGTTCCGTATCAGTTACAAAATATTATTACGTGCCTATAAGGCCCTTAATGGGTTAGCTCCTGCGTACCTAACTAGTCTTCTACCACGCTACAATCGTGATTTTGCCAAGTAAGACATGTTCCTGAGACATCTTTTGTTGATCCTGGATCAACATTAGTACTGTCAAAAAATACAGACTTAACCCAATCCCTACCCCTAAACCTAACCTTACCCATAATTTATTCCTAAAATCAGAGGGAAATGATAGCTGATTAACAAGGATGTAGAAGCACCTAATCCTCATTGTAAGCCTAAAACTGACATTTCCTGAAAAGTTATCTCTCAATTCTGATTGGCTGTTTGGAATTATGTTCCAGGATCAACAAGGATGTTGATCCAGGAACATGTTGTACTTGGTAAAATCACGCTCATCCACCAACAACCACAAAGAATATCTTAAAAACTACATGGCAACGCCCTGGCAACCATCCAGAACACCCTAGTAACCACATAACAACAAACCAACAACCACTCTGAACACCTCAGCAACCACATAAATACACCCTGACAAGCACATAGCAACCTGTCAACAACCATTCAGAAAACCCTACTAGGGTGTTCTGGATGGTTGCCAGGGTGTTGCCATGTAGTTTCTAAGGTATTATTTGTGGTTGTTGGTGGGTGTTGACAGGTTGTTATGTGCTTATCAGGGTGTATTTATGTGGTTGCTGAGGTGTTCAGAGTGGTTGTTGGTTTGTTGTTATGTGGTTACTAGGGTGTTCTGGATGGTTGCCTGGGCGTTGCCATGTAGTTTCTAAGGTATTCTTTGTGGTTGTTGGTGTGATGTTATGTGGTCACCATTGCGTTGTTATGTGGTTCTGAGTGGTTGTTGTTGGTGTGTTGCTATGTGGTCGCTTGGGTTTTCTGTGCAGTTGCCAGAGCGTTGCCATATGGTTTCAAAGGTGCTCTTTGCTCTGG